CCATGGGTTTTATGTTGCATAATTGGAGTTAGAGAGCTGGTCCGAAAAGCAATTTTGGGCAATCATTTACCAAGGGGAGAGGAAAAATCATTATGGTCCTACTGCCAAGGTTTGCGAGTAATAAACACTACACTCTCTGCAAGCCCAGAAGAGCTGTGTGGGCTTGATAAACAGCCACGTTCGCCCAGGCACAGTTTTAAACAGATGTCTGTAAATATCGTAGAAAAGAAGCCTCAGAAAGTCAGTGGGCGTCACTGAGGAGAGGCTGTCCTTGCTTTTGTTGGCAAACAGGCAGCAGCTGTCTGTCTCCTTTTCAAGGAGGACCTGCCTGCTGTCACCATTTACAGTTCCTTTGTTTTGCTGGTGACTGTACTACCATCATGGCTTCTTTTAAAGGACTGGTTCAGATCAGCAAGAAGTGGTTTGGTTCCCACTCCTTGTCCAACCCAGCAGACATGTGATAGTGTCTGGAGACCTGTTTTTCATGGCCAGGACTGGCAGGATTTGGGTGCTACTGGTGTCTCGTGGGTAGAGAGGCCAGGGATATTGCATGACTTCCTATAGTGCACAGGGCAGATCCCACCCCCAACAAAGAATTAATCCAAGAAATCAATAGCCCTGGTTGAGAAATTGTGACATTTTGGAAATTCTCTCTCAAAGAATATCTTATTGATGGATTGACTGTTTGATTGATTGTTTTACTTTTGGGAAACAGTCTCAACGTGTATTCAGGGCTGATCTTGAACTCACCACCTAGCCCAGGTTGGCCTTGAGGTCCTGATCCTCCTCCCTCAGCCTCCCAAGAGCTAGGATACTTGGCTTCTAGTATCTTCTTTAAGTAAAGGTGCATTCATTCTGTTTACATTCATTCATTTCACAAATAGCTATCCTTAAACCTAGAATGTATCCAACTAGACACATCCCTGTGTTTTGAATATATTAATTCATTAGTGTAACAGGAACTTAGAGAGCACATACCCCATGACACAAACAGCACCATGCAGGGCTTTCCTCATCAGGCTTGGTATTCTGGGGGGATGGAGGCAAGAGGCTACATAAAATAACAAAGAACAAGACGATTTCAAGTCATGGTAAACACTGTCGTGAGTATCAGCCAGGAGAAAAGGAAAGAAAAGGACTAACTAGGGAAAAGTGGCTTCTTTTAAAAAGCAAGAGTTAGGCTGAATAGGCTGTGTGTGTGTATGTGTGTATGTGTGTGCGTGTGTGTGTGTGTGTGTGTGTGTGTGTGTGTGTGTTCATCCTTGCGGTACTGGACCTTAAAGCCAAGGTTTCTGTACTTCTGTACTAAGCTACAACCCCACTCCTTTTTCAATTTTTTTTTTTAAATTTTGAGACAGGGTCACTAAGTTGTTAAGTTGCCTAGGCTGGGTTTGAACTCACAATCTTCCTGCCTCAGCCTTCTGATAAGTTATATTGAGGCTGATGCATAGATAACAAGAAGGAAGCAGATTGGAAAAAATTAGGAAGAGGAGTGTTCCAAACAGAGCTCATGAAGAGGCTGAAGACAGGCACACATGGGTGGGTCAAGGACCAGAACCATGTGCATCTTGGAAGGATGGGGAGGTGAAGAAGTGACTTCCCTGGGGTGGAGGTGGAGGGGTCACATAGGCTGGAATCTGAGCGACCTAGGTGAGGATCTGCCACTGTTGTTCATGAGGTGACAGAAAGCCTGGAGGAGCATGGTATAGGCAGAGTATTCCTGAGTCCACTCAGCCCTGGAGAAGGGTCAGACGGTAGTTCAGCACCAGTCAGGAACAAATGCAACTCATATACTAGCACTGAGTGGAGGTGGAAGGATGTAGCTGGATTCCAGGTAAAGTCCAAGACTTCCCTTGGCCTGGTCCATGGCTCAGCCAAGTAAGCTGCAGTCTCAGGCCTCCTGCTGCAGTTAGTGTTGGCTCTGAGCACCTCTGCTGGGTACGCACAGGGGACTCCATCCTCCAGCCAGTGCAGACCCAAGTGCAGCCTGCATGGAGCAACACACTCCCCATCAGGGAGCACTGGTGAACTCCTTAGACCCTCGCCAAGGAGAGCCTTGTTGGCCTGCCCTGAGGTTCTGGGCTGCATCCGTGTGTCTTTCCTGTTCTCTAGGTAGACCAAGGTTTTCTCTGAATACTTGACTTCTGTAATTTCCCTGGACCCTCCCCACAATGCCAGCCTTTTCCCTGGTAGAGAATGCCCTTGGGACCAGGATATGGCATCTCCTGACCCTGACTCCCTCGTAGCCTCCGGTGGCACTGAGATGCAACCCAGATTCCCACTGGCCCTTCCTTGCTGACCCAGTCAGGCTGCATGGATACCAGCCCCTCCTGGTCTCACCCAAGTCCACCAAGCTGGCCCTTTCCTTTGCTGGTGGGACCTTGTTTCTCAAATTTTTGCCTTCTTCACATCCTAGCTCAAAGGACATTTCCCTAAGAAACCAACCCTTGTTCTCTAGGGTCACCCTGCAGCAGGTTTTCTCAACAGACATCATACTGCCACAAACAGGCAAAAACTGGTTTTGGGGGGTGAAAAACATCTTACTATTTGAATATATAATACACATGCAGAACACACACACACAGTATTACAATTTCATGGAGGGGTTAATAAGGAAAAAAATACATCTAAAAAGGATCCTAAGGGAGGCATCAATGAATAATAGTTAAGAAACTGTGCTCTGTGGGAACTAAGTCTCCCCACTCTCCTTAGACTTCAACATACATCCTGATTTACTTTCCCCCCCAGAACTTATTATAATTGGTGATTTCTCAACCTGCATATTCCCCGTCCTCTGAACATAAGCTACATGAAGCCCAGTGGTGTTGGCCATCTATTAACCACTGAATCTTCAGCATCTGTATAGGTCTGGACACATAGTATTCACGTAATGAATGTTTGGGAATTCCATTGCTGTGGTAACAGAAGAAATGTTTTCAAATATAAGAAACAAGAACCCATTGGGCCAACTGTACTCTCTCCTGGATTTCAGCCCAAAAGACTTGTTGGTATCTTAGTGCATTGAGTTGAAGAATAAATCCCTTCTCTTCCCCACGGATGAGTTCATCTTTTAGTCCTGGTTGAAACTGGCTGGGTTATTCCTGTTTCTCTCCTCCCTGTCTCTCTTTCTTGTCTCCACGGACCCCAGTTCTTCACTATTCCACTGTGATCCCACAGTGAACCATACAGATGCTTGACTCCTTAAATTAAAAACATTTTTCAGGAAAACTTTAACACGAGGCTAACCATTCTGGCATTTACGCCACAGAAAGCACGCATTCATGTCCGATTTGATTTAGGGATAAATTGAATCACAGTGAGCATCCGCAAGACAAAAAAAAAAAAAAAAAATACTGGAAGGAAGCAAACCAAATGCTAATGCCATTATCTTATTCTGGAATGTGGATGTGCTATTTACTCTCTCCTCATATTTCTGGTTAACTCAGGAATTTCCGGTAATGACCATGTATTTTCTGTATCAGCAGAATCACGGTTTTGGAGTGGCTGGGTTGTTCAAGACCATCTCTGATACTTCAGTACTAAGGAGACAGACACAGACACAGTCCTGGCCCACAGATCCAGCCAGTTCTATGGGGTTACACAGTTACCCAGCCAAAAGCCTTCCGGGGGGAAATCCACAGTGGGAGAACCCATTGGTTCCAGGAAATTTAGTCTCTCTGGCAAGCAGCAGCAGCTTCATCCTAGGACCACGGCACTATCTGTCCCCTAGAACTTTTGGCTCCCAAAAGTGAGAAAAAAAAAAGTCTTCCTACCATAAGGAACCTCACACATGGAAAGTATAAAACAAATAAATACATTATATATTATAATGTTTTTTAGATTCTGCTGATGAGTGACAATGTACTATTTTTCTTTCTGAGTTTGGCTTATTTCACGTAAGGTCATGGTCTCAAGTTAAATCCATTTTCCAGGAAATGACATGGTGGTGTTCTTCCTTATGGCTGAATAATATTCCATTGTATAAATATACCACATTTCTTTATCCATTCATCTGCTGACCAGATCAGCTGACATCTTTATTTCTGGCTCCCACTGGAATACACCTTCCCACCAACAGAGTAGAAGTTTCCTTTCTCCCAAGTAGAGGAAGAAAGGAGAAGGAGAGAAGTGGAGGAAGGTGAAATAAAGTGTGCTATCTGCATGTATGAATACAAAATAAACCCCTTATTCTGTATAACCATGATATACTAATAAAATAAAAAAGAATTTTTAAGAGTTTCATGGCCCCCAGAGTCTAGGTCATAGAAGCCCAACTTAGAAAATTCTTAGGAAGATGTCGCTTGGAACCCAGACCACACCTTTCATTTGTGCTCCACGAAATAGCCCTGCTGGGTCCCAGTGCCACCCCTCCTTGGTGCTGAGGCTCTTGTAGTACCCACTCATACCATGGAAACCCACAGAACCAGTTCAACCCCCAGCATCCTTGAAGATAACACGCAATGGTCTAAATTTTTTCATGATCAACAAATGCTTTCAAACACCACCCCTTTAGCAGCTCCATTAACGAAAACATTCAATCTAACACCAAACCAAATAATCCAGCAACCATTACAACAGTATTGAGTGCAACAGCCAACAGTATCTCATAGGAGCTCAGGTTACAGGTTACCAGCTCAGCACAACACAGAGATCGTTTCAGCTCCAAGCCCTGACCTTGATCTTTTCTATGCCCGCAAAGTGACAATATTCACAGCACTGTAACGATATACATACTCTCTCACACCCCAGGTAGATTATGTGCATCCCCCCACTTTTGGTGGCCTACCTGAGAAGGAAGGGGGACTGGCACATATGTTTGTAAACCACTGAAGAGCTTAAAATACTTCTTACACCCAAAGCCCTGTCCAAGTGGATGCTGTTAGTACCCGCATTTAAAACAAATTCAAAGAAAAGTCATTAGTACAAGATTGTACCCACTGCTGCCCACTGCGTGGGCTAAGAGCAGAGGTTGCCTGGGGAGGAAAAAAACCCACTCTTACCTCCTCCAGGGCCCACAGGGAGTCCACCACAGGCTTGATCTTCTTCTGGTTGTAGAGCCCTATGAGTTTGTCCACCACTCCTCGGATGAGGCCTGCACGGCCCTGTTTGAAGAGCAGGTTTAACAGGGAAAAGCCCGCGATGACTTTGTTCTCTTCGTATAGCTTGATGGGGTTCACTTTCTCCACCTGCCACCACTGAAAGGAGAGACGGGGCTGATTACAGACTCCACACTGGCCACACCAGAGGAACTGCCGATATCACTGGCCACTGCAAAATGACAAGGAACTGAGCTGGGAAAATTCCAGCTGGCTGAAGGCAAGGGTTGGTGTTTTACTTTTAAGTGTCTATTTTGCTAGGCATCATTACAGTGCATGGGTCACAAGATAGAGATGGAGGTGGGAGACAGCCCCAAAACCAAGTGTCCCTAACCCTCCTATCCGTCATGTTCCAAAATCTGAGACTTTTTGAGTGACAACATGATACCACAGAAGAAATTTTGCAGTCAAACTGCACATATACTGAAAATATTGGATAAAATCATCTTTTAGGCTGTGTGGATAAAATGCACATGACACTAACATAAATTCCACCTCTAGACTTGGGTCTTACCTCTAAGAGATCTCACCATGTGTGTACAAATATCTCCTCACAAAATTGCAAAATCCAAAACAATTCTGGTCACAGGTGTTTTGGATAAGGATACTCAACCTGTACCAAGCCACATGCAATTGAAACATGAGGCAAATATTTAAGCCATCAGCTCTGGGGTTAAATCGTGGCTTGTCAACTTACTCCCCAGTGTTCTCTCTCTGGGCTTTGTTTTTCTCAACTGCTCTCAGTGACAGAACACAGCTTCTTACACCTTTCAGGAGAAGGATGTGTAAACCATGTGCTGGCGATGATGGACTTGGCAAAGGAAGCACGATGCAACGAAGTTTATAAATGTTGGGTGGGACCCAACAAATGGTGGAGGTGACCCCATGATTGCAGGACCACATCTTCTGAGCTTGGCAGGGTTACTGGTTTGCCTGAGTTGAACTGAGTGAAGAGGAACTGTCTTGCATGATGTATGATGTATGATGTATGATGTATGATATATGATATATATGTGATATAGCTAATGTACTTAAGTAACAAAACTTGCTTTGTCTTAAAATATTTTTATTATAACAGCTTTTAAAAATGAGAGCAATCGCATCCTGGGCTGCAGATTGGACATGTTTAGACCTGGACAGGCAGGTGGGACTATTGGGTAATGAAGAACAAAGAAGGGTGATTTAGGGAAAAGAAAGAGCGTGAAGAATCAGTGACACTCACGTCCGAGCTAAGCCGTGGTTCTTAATTGTTCACCCCCAGAAGACTTCAGTCTTGGAGGATATCTCTGGTTGTGATTACTGGGAAGAGGGGTGCTGCTGGCTCCCAGTCAGTAGAAGCCAGGCAACACCCAGGCCAGCCTCCATGACAAGGAACAGCCCAGCCCAGAATAAGGACAGCACCAAAGCTGAGATGTACGCCACTGACTAAAGCCCGAGGTGGATTCCTGACAACCAATAAATGATGCAATCCTGTTTCCAGCGTCTCATCCCCTACTTCAGACCTCAAAATAAACCCCTAACCCATCAACCACCCACAGAAATGGTCATCCAACTACCCTAAGCTGATTTAGCGACTTTTCCTTTGGGGCTGGCTATAGGTTAGACATTCAGACTTCTAGTTTCTGGGACTTTCTAACAGGTAAAATGTTTACTCTCAGTTTTCAGCGCAAAGAATGTGAGTGTCACTTCAAACCAATCATATTACTATGCTAATAATATGCTTATTTGTCTTATACCTCTTTCCAAAAAGAACTGAAGCTCACCTAAGTAAAAAAAATTTTTTTTTAATTGAGAAGTCATGTTAGGGAAACAAACATGGAAACACAGGTCAAAAATGCATTTGGTAAGGGTGCACGGGGAAGCGGGTAGTTCAAAAAGACTACATATTTGTTCAGGAGTTTCTTGCCACGAAGCAAAGTAGAAAGATGATCAACAGCTTGATCTGTGGCTTGTCTACAATGTTCGTGGAACAAATGCTTGTTAGATCTGCAACTCCTGTACACTTGTGGTTAAGAGAATTCTAGGGCTGACGTTGTTGATGAGCTGCATGATTGTAGGCAAGGAATACAACCTCTCTGTGCTCACTTTCCTGTCTGCACCCCAGGGGGTTGCTGTGAACAGCAAATGTGTTTATGGGTAGAATGTGCTTTGACCAGTGTCGGGTGTGGGAGGCACTCCACAGACAATTTTCATTATCTTAATTGGAAAGGGGTATTTTTGAGTTAGTGAATAAGAGCTCAAATCTGGAGTCAGATTGCGCTCTGAACATGAACCTCATCTGTTTTTCTCATCATGATGGTCTGAAAGCAAACATTTAACAGAGTTCAGCAAAGGCTCCCCAGCAGCGTTAGATGAGCTGTAGGGAAGGTGGTGGGTGAGAAATCTCTGTATGGTTCCAAATATGCCTGTCTTCAATGTACAGAGAATTTTTTTCTAGAACTCCTCAGAACAGAGTCATCTTTCTGCTCCTTGGCAATGCCCTCTCTGTCCGATTTACTTCTAACTCACTGACTGGCCTGGAACCAGGCCTTTGATGGGAAAATAAAACACCTCCTCATCCAGGGCCTCCACATACCAAGCATCATGGGCACCCTGATTTGGGTGGCGAAATCTCTATCTCCCTCTGGGCTATGTGTAATGAATGCCGTCATGAGCATGGCACTCTGCAATTATTTCATTAGCAGTATGTGACAAGCTCATGCATTTAGGGGAGAAGGGAAAACATTTCTGACAATTGCGCATAACTTGGACATTCACAGCAGCCTAGTGGCAGCATATCAATGACAATGATCAATGACAGAGGTCAATGGCACAAAGCCTGTCTTCAGGGACCTGCGCCTGGCTGCATCCTGTATAGGCTCCACCCTTGCACCTCCTGTCTGCCCTTTAATCCAAGTGATCCTTAACTCAGACCTCCAAGCCCCAGTGCAAAAAGAGGCCCTTAGATTCTAATCTCATGGGTTCAGGCAGGAGTGGTGTTCCAGCCTTCTGGAATGTTTGATGGGTGAAGCTGCCAGCTGCCAGCACTGGGGCTTAGGAAGCACATGAATGGCCCACAAGGCTACACCTACAAAGAAGTCTAACCTTCCTATGGCTTAGCTGGACCATTCAACTACAGAGGCCTCTGTCACATTCTGCTATTTTCTAGTTCAGCGCCTGTTTTTATCCTCTCCTAAGGTTTGACAGTCACTTATATCACGTGATTAGCATGTCTTACTCATGCTGTTTTTCCTCTCTCATTAGACCATAAAAGCCACCTGGGCCCAAAGGCACCCATCTCATTCACTGTGATACCCCATTGTCTAGGGCAGTGCCGCAAATAGTGGGTGCTCAGATAATGCCTGAAAACAGCATGATGCGCTTAGGGCTACTCTGGCCACACCAGAGGCCGAGAGCAGAGAGGATGAAAGCCCCAGTCTTGGGGGAAGCAGGGGTCTTTTGCTATGGGGCGTGGGGTGGAAATAAACATATAAGCCCAGATTAATTTAATTCTGGCAATGAATAGCTCTAGATGAAAATTTATATCTGAGTAGTTGGATAGTGGGACAAATGTCCAGAGATAAGACTTCTCATTGACAGACAAAGCAATCACATTTGCAGAGCTCGTTAAAGTAGTAGGATTCCCCATTTGCATCTCTAACTCAGTAGAATGGGGACCTGATCAGAATGTGGCCAGAATAAAAGGCTGGCTGCTGTGTAGGACAAATAAAATGCACTATTGCTAAGTTCATTTTTGATGAATGATTAAAAGCACTAAACCCACTCTCAGTAGAAATCAAAACGAAGCATCCTTGGGTTTCATTAGTAAACCAGGTCTTGGTCCTGCCCTGTGCAGGGCTGCAGGCTGCACTGACAATCAATGGTGCAAATTGTAGACAAGCAAAATAGTCTTTGGAGGGAGGAGCATAAAACATACAAACATCACAGTACAGGAGACTTGCGAGGACACTTACTGATTTTGCAAAGCTGAAGAAGCTCTTGGTCTCTCCAGTTACCATGTTGGATGAACCTGCAAATGAAAGATTCCCAAAATCAAGCAGCAGCCAATGAAAACTGACATCAATTGGTAACAAAGATCTGTTTGGTGCCAAACTGGCAAATGCTTAAAAGCAAATTTAATTCTGTTAGAAAAATGAGAGATATGGGAGCAAGGTATCAATGTTAGCTTAATGTCATCAGTTCAAAGAGGAAGTGGCATTGTCATGGGGACTGTTTTATTACTTTAGAAAACTGGGCACACAGAAAAGGGTGATTGAGGCCAATATTTTTATGAAATGATGGGCTGCTGAAATATCATCTTGGTTCTGTTCTTTGAGAAGGAGAAATGAACTCCACCGGGAACCTGCTTAATGGATCTGAGTTTGATTCCCACATGAGTGAGAGACTTAGAACTCTGATCTAGCCTGGGCAATTAAGTGACAGAGAAGGTAGAAGGAATTTGGATGGGTGAACAATGAGGCACAGAAAAAGGCAGAGGAGCGTAGAAATAGGGTCAGAAGAAAAGAAAACGGAAGTGGCAGTGCCCATAGCGTTTGGGCAGAGCGGTGAGGACCACTCGAATCGTGTATGTACAAGAAACCAAGTTTTTGATATTTAGACCAAGCAATTTTCCAGTGGCAGACAGGAGGTGGAGTTGAGAAAGTCTCTCTAAGATGCTCAGACAGAGAGAAAAGACCCCTCTTTGGGGTTCCTAAGGTGGGAGGATACAAGGATTTTTAACAATATTGCTAACATATAGATACCACGTTGAAGCCTTTTCAATGATTCTCTTGGCCAGTTCCCAAGGTTTTGAGAGTAAGTTCTTAGAGAACAGTCACTTAAGGAAACAACAATGTGTGTTTTAAATGTAATTATTTGCCCTGGGTAACTTACTAACAGGTTAGTTAACCACTGCTTCTGCCTTTATGGAGTGACTGTCATCAGGCATCAGAATAAAGGCTTATATTACATAGTAACCAAGTAATCAATGTCAGGAGTGAGGTAATTGTGAGATAATTAAGTCAAATTTCACCAAAATGACATCATGGAACCAGGACAAGAAAATAACCCCTAGCCAATAATACGTAATGATGAATAAATTGTCCACCTGCAGTTTATCAGTCATACAAAGTCCTCTGGCTTTTACTGGCTATCTTGTTAATAATAATAATAATAATAATAATAATAATGTATCTACTTCCAATAAAACATGGCCATAACAGAAATTATCAGAATACTCTAGTAAGGAACGTTTACCCACCTCTGGGAGCTCAACTGTCTTTTCGTTATAATGATCTGGTGATGATAAAAAGCTATTTATACCCCTGAAATATTTCTTTTATAAGCTCTTCACTAATAGCAGGAAAAGGTGTATTTTTTCCCGAGCTACCCAGCGTGAAGGTTCAATTTCTATTATACCTACGGGGCACAGAGGCTCCAAGATCTCACATATCATAACTCTAGTATCATTTTGCTTTGGAAAATGACAACCGGTTCCCATACGCCTTTCTGACCTTGTGGAGGCTGATGTTTACATTAGCTTCCATGCCTGAGGTAGAGAAGAAGAAAGAGCAAAGGAGGATGCCATGGAGTCTCATTTTGCTGGGCCAGACTTGCTCCCAAATGTTCTGTAAATCTCCTGCCCGCCACAGAGCACAGACGGGCAGGCAGGGGCAGGGCAGCTGGGACAGACATGTGCTCCACCCCATCTGGGCAGGACTTGATGGGACATTCAGGACAGGGTAGAGGAAGCAGCACTGGACTCTGCCTTGTTATCGCTCATGGTGAAGAATCCCCCTGAGCGTCCCACCTGCTACTCAGCCCCCTCCATGCTCCCCTGTGTCCTTCACGCCTTCATTCTCTGAACTTCCTTTGCAACCACTGGTATTTTTGTTCTACTCACTGTGGCTCAAAAATCCTTTAATTTTTCCACTCTTTGCCATTACCACATTGGCTCAGCCTTGCTATAGCCCTATTAAAATGACAGGCTACAGGGCAATATTCATCTGAGTGATTGTGATAATGAAAATAATAGTGCCATCAATATGGTAAAAAAATATTTTAAAACTACCCCTGTGCACACACAATCCCACCAGCTCAATGTATTAGCACAGCTCACTTTCCCAGGTTGTCCTTGGCACAAGTACACAGTGTTTCCTGTTGCCGGCCACCACCTTCCTGCTTCCATGTGGCACTCACCATATAAAATGTAGGTCCCAAGAGGCTTGAGAAGACTGAGGCCTTTGCCGGTGTTGTCCCCACACAGGCAATCCAAGACGATGTCCACGCCTTCTGCAGAGATTCTGAATGTGAGAAAACAAAGCAGAAGACTGTAACCTCTCAGGAATCAAGCCATGGACCCTTTCCCTTCTTGGGTCCTATCACTTCACTCCCAGAACCAGGAACAGTGAGCCTCCAGGGAGGTGGGCTTGTCTTCCTGGTGTAACTGCCAATGCACCTTGGAGTGACATCCTGATGAGTTAGTCGAAAATATCCTGAGTTGAAAATGTATTAATCTACCTAACCCACAGCTTAGCAGGACAGCTACAGCCACTGTGGATAATCAGTGGTTTTTCCTCATGATCTTCAGCTGGCTGATGGGATGCTGCGATTTGCCCAGCATTGTGAGTGAGGCATAGTGCTAGCCCCCTAAAAGATCAAAAATCAAAATCTGAAATATGGATTCTATGGAATGCATATTGTTTTCACACACACACTTAAAGTCAGAAAGTTCTAAGTCCAACCATTGCAAGTCAGAGACTCTGTGTAAAAATTTCCCAAAGCTGGAGCCAGCTAAGATTCCAGCAGGTGTCTGAAGCCAGGTCTGAGTTTGTACCTTCACATCTGAGTCTTAGCTTTCTCCTTAGTGAAGCAGAGCCATGTTTGTCTCTGGTAATAAGAGAATACTTGGCTCAGGCTTGCTAGGGAACAGTCAGTCATTTGGTGAATCAGTGAACAATTGCGATTTGTGAAGCAGGAGAGATTTGCCAGGCTCTGTCCAAGGTCCTGAGATAGAGTCAGTGTCCAAATCAACATGGTCCTGCATTCAAGGGGCCACTGGTCTGGCAAGGAGGCTCACTGATCTAACTTTTAAGCTTTTATTTATCTAATTTCAAGGCCTAATCTAAAATTGATGCAATAAAGGAATAGACAATCTTCCTTTAATGATGGAAGGTTTTGTAGTACAGAGAACTACATTTACATTTTATTGGGTAGACAAAACATTGGCTGATCTCTATTCATTTCTTTACATGCTCATAAATTCCCTCACTCAATGCACTGAACTTACTGGGCTTCTGCCCCTGTTGCACAGGGATCCCTATTGTTCTGCTCTACCCCATTCAGATAGGCGTGGTATTTCTTCAAGTCTGTGAACATGCAGAACATCTTGTCTTAACACATATCTTCATTTTACTATCTCCATTCAATCACAGAAAAATCCAGGTTCTATGGAGCATGGTCCCAGTTTCCCCAGGGTCATGCACTGGGAAACTGCATACTAATTACTAATTTGGCTGCTGTGATGTCTGCCTGGAGACCCAGCTGGCTTTGGGGTTGGCTTCCTCTCTTCTCCCAGTTCTCACACCCACCTAACCTCCCCAGGTGAGCTGTGGCCAACCACCACGTCCACCTCAGCAGCAGCAGCAGATCCACCCTCCCTTTTAAATAGTCTTTGCTTTACTTCCCTTTAAGCATCAGTGTCTACACTGGAAGACATTTTAGTCACCACAATGGACTGCAATTATTTTGCCCATTTGCTTATTAACTGATTTTTCCACCAAAACATAAACCCATGATTCAGGACCATATTTGTGTTGTTTATTGTTATATCCAGTATTACTGTAATACTGCTTTCTTCCTGGTGGACATACACTGATCCTCAACAAATATTGCTTGATCAAATGGATGGGTAAACAGTAAAAGTGAACACTTTAAGACTGGCATCCTACATGTATACCCGTGTCCTTGTTGGAACGGGGGCCACATTTCTGAGCAGTTTTATCATTAATGCTCACAGCAGGTCCCTGAGGTTGGAACTTCACTTTCTTGATGCAGAAACTGAGGTTTACAGACGGAACCATCTTGCCCAAGCTTATGTAATGTGCACAGCTGGAACTCAAACTTAAGTTTAGTTTACTTCCAATACTGATGGCCTTTGCACCACTCTGAGCTGAAGACTTCACAAACCTTTAAGCCTGTGTAATGAAGGAAGTAACACCTTCATAGGCAGCTCTGGGGAGCACTATATTGAGTTTAGTCTCTGCAAGATTCAGGATTAAATTTTGTCTTAAATATGTGTATATCCAGGGTTGGACCATATTATTCTTAACATCTAGGTGAAGCCATTTCTATTTCCCAGAGAGTTCTTCTCTCCCTGTGCCCCTCTCCCAGGTCACAATATAGGAGAGGCCAAGGTCAGGGTCACACACATGTGTCCTAAATTTCCAGCTGCTGACAACCATTTCCTGAATGCTTGCTTCATGTGGGACAAAAAGGCTCAAGTTCCCTCTAACTAAGGAGTCTGTGGATCCCAGGGGAGTGCTGTGGTCTGAATGTCCACCCTTGCCCCAACATGTATTAGCTGCCTAGTCCTCAGTGTAACTGTGCTAAGAGGTGGGCTTTGACTGGTGGTTAGACCATGAGGGCTCAGCTCTAATGATTGCATCAATGCTGGCATCATGGATATCAGCTTATTACCATGGAAATGGGATCCTTAAGAAAGGCTGGGTCCAGTTCCCTCCTGGTCCCTGTCTTTTTTTTTTCCAGACATGGTCTTGTTGTGTCCCTCGGGCTGGCCCTAATTTCACTATGTAGCCAATGCTAGCCTCGAGTTCACAGTAATCCTCTGGCCTCAGCTCCTGAGTGCTGTGGTTACAGTGTTCCTGTCTTGCTATGTTTCTCTTCTGCCATAAGTGTTCCTCCCTCTGGAGGATGCAGTGTTCAAAAATCCACATTGTAAGCAAAGATCAGGCCCTTATCAGATGCTCAACATGGTGGTGCTTTGATGTGGATCTTCAGGCTCCAGAACTGTGAGCAGAAAAATCTCTGATCACTTTCCATCACCCAGCCTGCGGTATCCTACTATGGCAGTTAAAAATAAAAAACTAAGACAGGGAAACAGGAGTAAAGGCAGACACAGAGACCCCTGCTCCAGTACAGCAGCTGAGGAACCTGGGAAAGTGATATCCTATGTGATGCTGACAGATGAGCAAGAATTGGCTAAGTCACTACTGGAAGACGTTTCCCAGAGGAGAGAGTCACAGTGTGACCCAGGCTGAGTCAAGGCTTTGGAACAGCAACCAAGGCCATGAGGAGTCCTGGTGCCTGTGTCCTTCAAGAAGGACTCAGAGACCAGGTGCCACAGCCAACAGCTGACATGGAGATAGGCGGGCAGGTGACAAGGGGCTTAAGGACAGTACAGCATTGGGCTTAGGATCATAGATTTTGTCTCAGCCTAAAGCATTTAGTGCTGACACCACATTCTGTGTGACTTCATGGGAGTTAAATCTGTGCCCACATTTCCTCCCTTATGAAAGTAGACAATGGTGAGCCACACTCAGGGAACAGATGCAAGGGCAGTACAGAGTCCAGTTCATGACATCACTGGGTCCATTGGCAGCTTTTAATACCTTTTGTCAGAAAGGCCCAGCTGAAGAGGATCTTTTGCTTGAGAAAAGGGACTGAAAAAAAAAAGAGTATGCAGAATTCCAACAGCAAACCATGGACCCAAACAGCCTTTAGGGTGTGAGAAGGCCTATGCCAGAAACCAACAGAGCCACGCTGGACCCTTGTCCATCCCGGGCAGCCTGTTTCACACCTCTGAGCACCTGTCAGTTCCCAGGCACAGGGCTGAGAAGTCCCCAGGCTCATTCCATTCATGCCTCATGCAAGCCTGTGACTCTGGGGCTGTCACCATCCTCTTCTGATGAAAGAAGAGGCTGAGACTCAGTGACTTACACAGGGCTTACCACAGAGAATGAGGGAGGGCCTGGGTGTGATCTGTTCACACCTAGAAACCAGGCAGGAGCAACAGAATCAGGTTTCACAGGCTCAGTTGTGGCCAGCCCAGGGAGGCCACCACTGTCACCTCTAGGCCATGTGGGCAGCTGAGCAAAGCTAGGAGCTCCTCTGCTGTGCTCCCCCTGGGAACGACTGGGATTTCCTGTGTGCTTAGGGACCTGCCCCTCCCCATGCCTCTCTCCTGGCATTCCATAACGGGGCTGCACACAGCTCAGGGCCAAAGCAGCCCCATCATCTCCCCCCAGCTGTCACTGTGCCGTTTTGAAGGTTTGGAGCAGAGAGAACGTGGGAGAAGCTAACCAGAGGCAGACATCACTGCTGTGGTCTGCAGGGTGAGGGTGGTGGCATTTCTGTCCAATTGTCCAAGTAGCCATTGCTCCTTTTGAGAGCAGAAATGTTCCTTCAGGTCAGAATTTCAAAATTAAAAAGTGTATCCTCCTTTTTCCATCATAAACAGATCATATGGAGGCGACTGCTTGTTAGAGGTACACGGACATCCTTATGCCCCTGGTCCCCATTTCTGGGTGTATAGGTGTAGTAATTACCTAAGAGTAGGGTGGGGGGCCAGAGCCAAGGGTGGTGGCTTCTGGTCTGCTGTCTCCTGCCTGCATTCGTATCTACGGATTTAAAACCAAAGAGCCCAGCTCGGGAGACCTCTGGGGCAAGATCAGCAAAATCTGCTGGAATTGCTGATCCAAAGCCTCGGTTTCTGTCCCTCCTTTGTCCTCAGCCCTGGACTTCTACGCTGAATGCTGCCTCTCTGCTCCCCACCCACATGGACCAGAAAAGAATTTCTCTTGAGTGGCCACAGGGAAACCTTTTGACCTCGCCAAGGAATGCATTTCTCTTTATGGTGCCTTTGATTTCCAGTTGGAACTTTGGCTCTTTGCTCAGCTTTCTCTTTTAGAGTTCCTTTTTCTCTGAGAACTCACTGGTGCTGTAGTTTTAACTATGATCGGCACACAGTAGGCTTCTTGCAGGAGCCAGGTAAACTGCTGATGCACAATAGGAAGTATTTACTAGGGATGGCTCCCTTGTGTACGTGGTAACACCTCCTCCAGGAATCCCTCTGGATCCTTGCCTTTCTATTCTCACCCAGTGGAGAGATTCTCATTCATCTCTGCTAATGAATTAATAAGCACCTACTATAGGCCGGCACTGTGCTAAGCATGGAGAGTGCAGAGGAGCAGAGAGACATGATTTGTCTGAGATTTCACCCCTTGGCCTCATCTTTGACCAGCATCTGCAGACTCAAGTCATCTGAGCAAGTAACAGATCACTCTCCTGGGATCGGGACTCTTTCCTCACGGGCTTTGTGCTCCTTAACCTGGGTCTGTGTCTCCTCTCTGCCTCTTCAATTTCCAGAGCCAGCTCATAGCAGTTACTGGATAAGTGCTTGAGAGGGGGTTTCATGCACCACAGCTGTGTCCCCAATTTCCTCTGGAGGTTGCACCCTCGTGGTGTATTTATCCTCTCTGCAGGAGGTCATCACGGTTTCTAATGCCACCGTCTAACAACAACCAAGAGAAGTCGACCTGGTCTCATCCTGTATGATTCTCCACAGTCTAGGTTCTGTGTCTCCTCCTGCAGCAGCTCTGCCCCTCCCTTACCCTCCCTTTCTCCTCTCCCTGATTTTGGAGGCCCCTTTCCACTCCCCCTACTTGCTGTGGCCCGTCCAGTTCTTCACAAATTCATCTCTCCAACAGTGCCTCATTGCTTCAGGGGAGCCAATGACGCTTTCTTTCCGACACAACACAGTCCAATTTTAGCTCCACTGAAAGCTTCTGAGTGGTTCTGTGTTACTGTTTTAAACTCCTAATTGACGTTTAGTAACTGTACATATGTATGAGACAGGGTGTGATATTTCAATAGGGTACATTGTAATGAGTAAATCAGGGTAATTAGCATATCCATTATCCCATCATGCCAGTGGTTCTGCTTACACTTTCCAATGGGTAATGTCTGGGGACATTTTGCATCACTAAGCCTTGGGAGACAGGCAGGGGCGACTGCACGTAAAGAATAGAGAGCCAGGCTGCTGCTAAACATTCTGCAATGCACAGGACAAGCTTCCAACATCAGAACGACCCTGCCTGCTCCACATATCCATAGTACCAACAGGAAGAAGCTGATCTATCTTGACGGTGCCATCCAGCATCTCACACTCCTCCGGGCTTTTCCGCAGGCAGCTTGGTCTCCTTGCTGGCTCTGGGATGAACCCGCCCCTCACTGCCTTGGGGAGAGATTGTGCACGGTAGGAAGAGCACACCACACACAGCTGTGCAGAAATGACTTAACCAGGTTATGCTTTGGTTTCCTTCTCTACAAACAAGGACAGTGTCCACTCGTGGCTCTTGAAAGGGCCGAGAATGAGCTCGTCTATGTCCTATGGGCTCCATGCTGACGTTGCCCTGTGGTTTCCCCACGTGCCGTGTGCTCCCCTGGGAGGGACTGACCTCCCTGCTTAGCCACTGCTCATTCCATGATTGGTCTCTACGAGTCTGGACACTTCAGGACATGGGTGTGTCTTTCTCACCTTTGTGTCTATGTCTGGGTGGCTCACGTGAAGGCATCAATAAGGTCTGAATGAACGAATGAGCATAAAGTCTGAGGTAATACTGTGTTCTGTTTCCCACCATATGACATGTAAGTTTGTTAAAGACTTTTTTTTAGTTTTACTGAGATATATGAGTAACTGCATATACTAAAGTATGCAATTCCACATCTGTGTCATAAATTCACACCTGTGAATCCACCAACTGCAAGGTACACATCTTCCCTGCCCAAAAGCTTTCCTGGGTTTTTTGGTAAACCAATAAAAGTCTGACAGAACTCTTTACAAAATCCTACTCCTCTGAAGCCAAATCTGGTCCTCAGTCTCAGTTTCCTCACCTGTAAAATGAGGCATTTGGCCTTGCAGGGTTGTGTGAGGTGCATATAAAACATCTCATCAAAATCCTAGCAGATTGGGAAGAGACCAGAGCACCTTCCATGCCGTCCCCAAACTCCCTGTCTGGAATTCTCTCTCCTTCCCCCACCTAGAGACATCTTCTTCCTTTGGGGCCATCACCTGGACATCACCTCTGATCCTTCTCTCTTCGTTACTTCTGAAGCCTTTACTGTCAGGAGCCAGTGACTCAAGGTTCCTGACTCTTATTTGTAGTTCTCTCTTCCAAACAGAGAAAGCAACTGGTAATAAAAGTAAAATCTATATCATAAATATTTTTTCTCTGCTCCCTTTACCATTCCTGGCTTGAGGCTGACAGTACATTCCAAAGAGGTTTGCCAGCTTAAAAGACTTTTCATCTCGAGGAATTTTATGTCATTATTTTCTTCTAGTTCATCTTACACATAACAGTGTGACCATATCTGTGATCAAACTCTAGAGAGGAACAAACCACGCTGCCCGACACTTTCATTGCTTGTTAGCGCCTGGATACTTTCCCTTTCGTTTCGTTTTATATCCGTATGTGCCAAGAATCTGTACAGAGCCGTGATCCCAGTGTAGAAGGAACCTGGCATTCTGCCGTCTCCCCTCAATCTGCTACTGTGGGAATTTTTGCATTTTGTGACAGTCATCATAACTATCATTTTTTTAGTGGCTGCATAATTCTGAAGCACATGGGCGTGGCCTCTACTCTACAGCACTGTTTCCCTCCTGCGGGTGACTGGCTGGCTCTGAATTTCCACTATTATAGACAAGGCTGCATCCTGCTGACCATGGCTCAGGAGCAGCGATGGGCTCTGAAGCATGCAGCTCTCTGGCTGTGACACTGACTTGACCTGGGCCATTTCCTGCCAGAGGCCTGGAGAGAGGCTCTCACCACACCCACAGCTTCCTGGTCATTTGTGGTCTAATCCCAGGGTCTCCCCTTCCAGCTCTAGTGAGCCGTTAGCAGTCACACTGAAGGAAGGTGGCGGGGACCTGGGTCTCGGGCTTTGCTGCTTTCTGCTTCATGTGATCTCAGTAGACCCCAGTGGTTCTCAGGCTAACGGAGCAGGTCAAGAGGAGACAAGATGAGAGATGGGGAGGGCGGAGCACCTGGCTATGGGACGCCACATTTTTAGGGCACTCCTGCTCCTGACCCTCTTCCTGCACCAACTCTACAATCTACTGCCTCTGTCCACCCTGGCCTCCCCTCAGATTCCTAAACACATGCTACTCCCCTATTCTGAATGCCCTTCCCTGGCCAATGTCTCATCCCTCCACCCCAAGCTAGGGACATCTTTGCTTGATGTCATGTCTGACAGGCCATCTGCAGCTGTTCACTGGAACTGCACACTACCCCCCTGCAACACACAGCAAAACAGTAAATCAGACACTTCCCTTCTTTAAAGACTTGAGCTCTATGAGGACAGTGATGCTTCAGGGAGTCATTGCTGGGCTCCCTCTGTGGCATGGTAGCCAACCTCTCCCAGACACTCAGCTCATAGCTATTAAGAAGGTATATGAGGAACACGATGATCCTGGCAGGAATATCCCATGAGGGGATGAGAGAGGATTATGGAAGTGGACGATGGTGGCTTAAGTTTGTTCTACAAACCATAGTTTGAGAGACTCCAGTTCCAACTATGAAGCTCTCCTCGGGAATCTGTGACCTCAGACCAACTTAGGTCCTCAAGGTTCTACCTGCGATCTCTGGACATCTGAGAAAGGGGGCCAGCCCCTAAATCTAGTTTCACAGCTCTTGTTTCAGGTCCTGCTGGAAATATTGGGACAATCTTAAATCATATACACATCTCTGCCTTTAAAATATTAAAAACAAACCTGAAAATTCAGCCCATCATGGATATTCCAAGAAACTTCCTAAGTTTCACCAAATCTGGTCTAAACTGATCTCCCCAGACAATCAGCTCTGGTCTTTCATTTTCCCATCTTAATCTGTGGTGTGGAGAAAAGTATTTCTTCAGGAAGATGCTGCCTGGGAAACTTAATACATTTGTACCTTACAAGTGAGAGCTGAAAAGGGAGACGCTGAGACAGAGGCACCTTTGCCGTTTCTGAAGCCCTGCTGGAGCTCTGAGCACAGCAGACCCTGGGATGAGCCGGGAATGCTGAGCAGCAGCCGGGGTGAGTCACACAAATCATCTGGAAGGTGGCGGCAGCTGCGTTTCCCATCTGACTCCCTGCGCTGACACACACACCTGGCCTTGATCAATAGCTTCGGGATCACAGGTGGAATGGAGAGCAGGCTATAAACCAACACTGCCCCCAGAGACTGCGATGCCAGCAGACTGATCGCCCTGCCTGCCATCTCTCCACACCCTCCAGGGACTGCTCAAAGCCCAGATGTGCTCCTGTCACATTTGTCCTTCAGGAGCTTTTGGTCACCCCCAACTTGGAGTCCACACTTCCTAAGTTGTGTGAAGCTTTTATATGCACATGACACCTGTCTCCTTGTCCAGTGGTTTTTCATGTCTCTCCTCCTCTTTCCTCCCCATGGTCTTTCAATAATATCCATGATTACATCAGATAGCCACACACCCCTCCTGTGCACCCTGAGAAGCTTTTCTGCATCTCTCCCAGCCTCAGAGGCCCTCCAGTGTCTGAGCATGCGCTGTGACTGCCTTCAAGAGCAGCCCCACACACGATCCCCTTCTTTCTTAGCATAAGCCTCACTCTGTAAAGAAGTGAACTCTTGAAAGCACTGGCTTCTGAGTCCAAGTGCCTGGCTTGAATCCAGACTCCACTGCTTCCTACCGGTGCCAGCGCTGGATATTTCCTGTTTGCTTTCAGTAAGATATGGCCAAGGGCCAAAGCAAGCACCAGCAACCCCAGATGAGCAGGCGGTGCTTTTCCTGAGTCTGAACCGCGAAAACCTCCCATTCGTGACACTTCAGGGTCTTTCCTCATCTGCTGTCTAGAAGGAAAGGACCAGAAGACCAGAGACCATGGTGGGACCATCAGGTGAAATCATCCCGGGTCTGTGAATCTCTTTACAGAAGAGCATCCACCCAACATCCGCCTCGGCTTGCTATGTGAATGAGTGAGCAGTAAACTTCTGTGTGTGAAGACACTAGTAACAGCCAGAATAACTTTTAACACATTAGTTCTGCGAGTTACTGAATGGCTTTGTTTCTTGGGAATAATAATAAGGTTGTTGAGAGGATTAGTTAACATGTGACGCTACTACTAACCCCCCAGTATAGTTCTACTATTACTATTTCATTAACTATCTTCCAAATGGCTCTGATTATTCTTTGAGAGACAAACAAGAACCGACCTGGTACTCTGGAGCAAACCCCTTACCTTTTTACTTCCTGCACGTAGTCCGCATTTCTATCAAAGAGGTGAGTCACGGAGTCTTTGATTGCTTCATGCTTGAAAGTAGACGCTGTTCCAAAGACGGTCACATTGGGGACAGTGGAACACAGCTGAGCCACAGCTTGACCCTGGAAATGACACACACACAGGCCAGTCACACTTGAGAGCTACCGTGCTACGTGAAGTATTGCACAACACAGGTCAAGGTGTCGTGAGTTGTCTAGCAACCTGTCTCACTAGGTACAGAACAGGCTTTCTCAGCTTTGGTGCTCCTGGCATTTCCAGGTTGGGTTAGTCTTTGTCCTAGGGGCTAAACTGTGCATTGCAAGTTGTTGAGCATCCTCCCTGGCCTCTACCTGGGAGATGCACCTTACCTCTCCTACTTGGGACAACCGAAAATGCATCCAGATATTGCCTGTAGGAATAAACCTGCCCTAGTTGAGAATCACTGGCATAGAGGAAAGTCACAGGGGGTCAGACAAACCCCAGCACCAAGACTCCACCATTAGTTATGTACATGGAACTCTAAATTGGCAATGATGCTCCCTGCTCCTCTGGGGAACACGATAGTTTGGCTCTCTCTGAGACCGACATTTGAAGGAAGTGCTTATCTGGGAGATGATCTCAGAAAACAACATGACACCAAGGCCAATGAAAAAGGTGATTACTGAAGGGTGTGTTATCAAGCCCAGATCCCCCGTGGACCACCATGGCTTCATCCCTTGGAGGACCATAAGCAAGCACAGTATAGACCCAAAAGTCTTCCCAGCTAAGGGATGCAAAAGCTGGGGTATTCATCCAACACATGTCCACCCATCACTGGATGACAACTGCTACTGCAGCAACCCGAGTGTGCCTATGCCTTGTCTTCACGGGCCAAGTGTGACCCCATGGTCACATAGAAGCCCCCAGGAGCAAATTCCAAGATGCAGAGTCCAGAGCAAATACTGTGTGTCCACAGCATCTGCTACAGAGAGATGTGAAATGCGGTATTATATAATGCAGGGCAAGAACCTGGCACAAAATGTGATACTTAATAAATCTTAATTTTCTTCATCGTTTAGGGGCATAGTATATCCAGGGCTGAGATGTCCAGGCGTATCAAGAAAAGGTCAACATGAACTTTAAATACTAAATGGTCCAGGGAGAAATTACAAATGCAGTTAGGAGAGGGATGATTCCCTACATCTTTTTTCAATACGGTTGAGCTCTAAATCACCAGACAAAATATTGCAACCACATATACTCAGCAACCTTTTAGCAAAAGTCAATTTGCCATTAATTAAGATGCATTCTAAAACCACTGTCTCTTCCCAGCATCCCATCTGCCATGTTAAGGAGGGAAATTATTCTCCCAAAGTCATCTGCGATATTCATTTCTGTCCATCATCCTGTTTTCGTGTCTTCAGGTTGGGGGATAATTCAGGTTGGCAGGTCAATTTATTGAAATGTTATCACCAGTTGCAATTAAAGGCAACAAGGAGAGACTGCTAGAATGTCAGCTGGGAGATCACCCAAGTGCCTGCTCCCTGTCATTGTCTTACAGATGAGGGAAAGGGCATTCAGGAAGGACGAGGTCATAACTCTCAGAGGCACATGGAGATTCAGAGCAAGGCCTTCTGACTTCCCTGATGGCCATGTCCTATTATGCCGCGCTGTCTGCTGATTTTAACATTTTAAGCTACACAGACTTTTCCATCATTCCTTAAAATAGACACGTCACTGGCACTTTCCCTGAGAGGTCAACATTTCAGGTCACGGCGTGACCCTAAGACTCTACATAGGCTCCCATTTTTGTCCTAAGAATAGCTTTGATATTTAACTTTTTCATCCCAGATTTTAACAAAAAGACGGTTCTAGCCTCCACAGTGAGTGCGAATGTCAGCAACCAAAGCAACCAGTGGCTAAAATTCACGGGCTGCATCGAAGCCATGGCTGGAGCTCTGTGATAGGACTGAGCTAAACCTGGATGAGAAAGTTATAGTAATCTCAATAAAGTGCCTTCCGCCCTTTGTCCTTGAGCAACATGACCTCTATTCATTTGACTATTCTCAAATGCAGGGGTCAGACACTTGACACCCCTGTCACTCGGCCCTGCTGCTCACTGAGGCCTGGGCTTGCATTTATAACTACCATTTGGGCATCTGTCTCCACCTGGTCAAAACCACACTTCAAACTCAGCTGATCCAAACCACAGCTCAGGAGCATCTCCAAAAGATCTGATGATCTGAATTAGTTTGCGAGGGCTGTTGTAATAAAACGCCACCACTGGGGGGGCTTACACACCCAGCCTTGGTAGTTCAGTTTCTGGGCAGATCTGGGGCTTGAAACCCAAAATCAAGATTCTGGCACGGATGGTTCCTTCTGAGGGGAGCAAGGGAAGGACCCGTTCTGGGCCTTTCTCCTTGGCTTGTACATAGCCTTATTCTCTGTCTCTTCATATCATCTTTGCTTGCGCCAATTTTACGTGTCCAAATTTCACCTTATGAGGTCACACTGGAGTCAGATCCACTCTGATGACCCCACATTAACTTATTTACCTCCGAGAAGATTCTGCTGTAACTTGGATTTTAAATGTACCTCCAAAGCCTTTGACCGTGTATGTGCTGAAGATTCCATGGTGTGGTACTATCTGTAGGCTGTGAAATCCCTAAGGGGTGGGAGCTTTTGGGTTATTGGGGGTGGAGCTCTTGAAGGGGCCAGCGGGACACCAGCCCTTTCCTCTCTCTTCGCTTCCTGGCCATGAGGTGAGCAGGCCCAGAGAAACAGAATCAACTGATCATGGACTAGACGCATCTAAAACCGAAAGACAAATACATCTTTTCTCTTTGTAGCTTGATGCCTCTCAGGTAGTTGCTGTAGGAATGGAACGTGATGAACACATGCTATCTTCATGTCTTCACTGTGAGGGTTAGCTAGGAATTCTGAAGGGAGCACAGTTCAACCTATGTATTTCTCCTACATAGTCCCTTCTCCTGTGAGCTGGAGGGAACTGTTCAACCACCAAGTAAAGGACCCTGGGCATCACCTATCACCTTGCTCCTCCTCCTCCCTCGCCCCAACACCGGCCAAGCACCCAACACATTCTTTCCCCTCAACATCTCTCATGACTGTGCCTTCTTGGTCCAGGAGGTCATATTCCCTTCCCTGATTATGTCACCAGTCTTCTAAGGGTGTCCTCCTGCGGTCAAAGTAACATTTCTCAAATACAACACTAAGTATTTCACTGTTTGCTTAAAACATCAAAATGACAGTGCCTCCCATGGCTTCCCGAGGGCAGGCACACCCTGTATTCTGTCCACGAGAATGGCCCCGTGGCCTGGCCCCGCCTGCCTGGCTAACATTCTCCCCTCTGCTCTCCCAGGATCTTCTCTCTACAAGGCCACGGAAGCCAAGCCTCTGCAGAGCATTTTTCATGGGCCTGGTGCAAGAAGCTCTGCTCTGATGGCTCTCCGAGCACAAGCCTTTGACCTTATCTTCCTGAGGAGGAGGCTGAGGTTGACAGGAGGGGCCTGGCTCAAGGCTGCAGGACCAGTGCTCTGCTACACTCCTTGCTGTTTGCTGGCTGGGATATATCAGTGCCGCTGCAGGAAACACCTGAGCCTCTGCTAACTCCACTTCAACACAGGCTCCTTTGTGAATGCGCACAGTCTAGGACTGGCCCGGAACTGTGGGACCCAACACATCAGATAGCTCGGGACAACAAATGCCCAAGAAGTCTGTGCTACCTTTCCTGTGAAGACTGGGGCTACTGCTATCCTCAGTGTTATGAGGTCAGCAGCGGCTTCTCATAGGTGGCGCGGTTTCAGCCTCTGCCTGTTGTGCTGCGTGCGACCCTTCCCTGGCCTGGCGTGCCTTCTGTCCTCTCCTTCAGAGGCAGCAGCTGCCAACAGGCCCCTTCTCTTCCAGGAACCCTTTCCAACATCCTAGATACCTTCTTTTGTTCCTCCACCGCTCTGTGGGTACCTCCTTCAGGACAGTAGTCATTGCAGCCTCCTGGGCTTCCTTGTGGCCCTTGATGAGCCACAGGGCCTGTCTGTCAACTGGCTCTGCCCCTCAGAGCCCATACAGGGCTGGGCATGCAGCAGGTGTTTGCTGAAGCTTGCTGATGAATGCATAAAAAACTAGAGGAATCAGTGTCTTGGAGCTGCCCTCTCCATCACCGTGGCATGTCCTTTAGTATTGCAGAGATAGAACAAAGCATACATTTAAAAACTGATCTGCATTGTAACTGACACATAATATTGTCCATATTTCAACACAGGTACACAACACACAACGATCAGATCAGGGTAATGGACATGCCTATCACCTCAGGCATGTATCATTTCTTTGCATTAGGAACCTTCAAAATCCTTTCTACAAGCAAGTCTGCAATATTCTCTTAGTTATTATCAACTGGGGTTCCTGTACTGTGCAGCAGAATAGTAGGGTTACTCCTCCTACCAACTGCACCCTGTTAATCCCCCTCTCTCCATCCTGCCCTCCAGGCTGCTTTCCAGCTCTGGTCACCACGGTTTTATTCTCTCCTTCTTTTGAGATTAACTTTCTAGCTTCCACATAAATGAAATCATGTGGTTCTGGCACTCTGCATCTGCGTATTTCACCCAACATAATGTCCTCCAGTTCCATTTACACTGCTGCCAGTGACAGGATTTCATTATTTTTGGCTAATTAACATACAGTCTGCATGTATACCGCATTTTCTTTATCTGTCCACCCATCGATGGACACTTAGGTTCAGGCTGTATCTTAGAAGTGTGAACAGCGCTGCAATAAACATGCAAGACGTCTCTGAAACTTCTTCATCTTGGTTCCTTTGGGTGGACACGCAGCAGTGGGAGGGCTGATCATATGGCAGTTCTATTTCTAATATTCTGAGGGACCTGCATGGTGCTTTCCATAATAGCTACAGGAATTTATATTCCCAACAACCATGGGGGAGAGTTCCCCTTTCTCCTTTGTAAAGTGTAGATATAATTAACATATGCCAGCTCTGACCAGGGCAGAACTTTCTGGTTTCCACTGTAAAGGGAAACGTACAGACGGTAAATAAAGAGATGCTGTAAGTAACCTCAGTTACTCAGAGCCAGTCATGTGGGAGTAATGATGGGGATACAGCCTAAGA